CCCCAAAACCCCAAAACCCCAAAACCCCATTTAAAAAGCAAATAATTGATTCAATACTAAATTATTTACATTGTAAGCTTTCAAGAAGGAGTAAAGCTCCTGGATGGCTCATAGTTTCCTTTCAGCTAAGACCTCTTGGGGATTAGAGCTATTTAAAAGTAAATGAGCCAGATGAGATTAAAGAGATAGCGAATGTAGAATAGGGTTAAAACAAGAGAGGTGCAGGCTGGAAAGTTTGAAGGAGTTATCTAAAACAACTACGCAAAGCATAATTTGATTAAATTTACTCTAAAACCAATTCCCAGAGTTTTACTCAACAGCTAATTTACCGATACTCTTTATTTCCAACCCCCAAGATCTGTACAAACTGGTATAAAGTAACTATTGAAGTCTGAACAAATAAATTAACGTAGCACTCATCCTTTCTGTTCTTATCACATGTACCTTCGAAAGGAGGGGCATTTCTGACCCTCAGGAGTGAATCCAATAAGGAGAGGCTCCTTTTTACTAATAAATAATTTATACCTACCTTAAGGCCTGCCAAGGTCACCAGGCTCTTTTATTAAAATTAGAAAAATCTAGTTTTAAGCAGCAGATCCCACAAGAAATAAGCTTTATGAATAACTCTTAAGAAAGTTTCAAACCATTTTAAAATAAGTTGTTATAGAAATAGCACAAATTTAGTAAAATTAAATTATTTTTAATTTTTGTTAAAAAATTGTTTAATAATTTTAGAAAGATAAATTTGTTTGAACCTTGGAAGATAGTTACTCCCAAAGATTATGATGCTAAAGGAACGATTTTTATAAAGATTGACCAAGATTTGAGGTTATTTTCAGTGAAATTGTGAGAATACTTATACAAGGAGATGGACTTGGACAGTACCTGATATGATCCTCAGATCCTGTTTGAGGAGATACCTAGCTAATAGTGACTGAGGAGAAGATTGAGATTTCTCCTATTTCTCAAATTCCAGCAGATTCTTTATGTATATATCGTCTCAAGATGAACACTTCATCAGAGCTAGATGGTATGAAATTAGAGATTTCATCAGCTACAAATTCAAGACTGTTCTTATTTACTAAAACAGTTAGCTCTAATTATAAAGGAGAGCTTCGTGAGTCTGGAAAATCTTGTTTTTCAAAGAGATATTTTAAATATCAAAAATATGAAAGAGATATCAACTTATTGGTGCTTCCACAAGATGGCCAGCAAGCTAGCTTTCCATTGACCGCTAAAATTATCTCAGAGAGTAAAAATAAGCCAACCTCAAAGTGGCTTACCATAGCTTTACCCATACTTGGAGTGTTTGCATTTATCTCAATATGTGGTGGCTTCTGTATTTATGCAAAGAGAAAGCAAGCTCAACAGGAAGCCATAGCTGAAGGAAGAGACAATATCCAATCCTCAAAAGCAAGTTTTCCTTCCTTTCCCACACAACTTCCTCTCCAATGATATGACTCTCTTGCCAAAACCCTAAATCCCAGAGCTGAGGATAACAACAGAACTACCATATCAGAAGACTACATCTACTCACAGTTATTATCCAAGCCTAAACTTCATTAACTTTGTTCGTAATAGTTTACGATTTATTTCAATATTTAACTTTCCTAAAGGGGTTTTGGGGTTTTGGGGTTTTGGGG